ATGATGTTCCTACGCACCTCGATAATTATCAGAAAACGCATTTGCATGAAGTCGTTGCCTAAGCAGGCCATGAATTTCCTTGTCAATATGCATTTGTACTAATTTGACAATAATTAAACAATACAGATTGTTTCAGTTTTTGAATGAAGAAATATTTTGATATCATGAATGTTCTTATGATTTAACAGCAATTTTAATGTTCAAATCTGTACCGACTGCTACTAGAATTTGACAGGTCATTCAGCTTGTCCTCAGACACCTTACAACAAAACTAAACGATCGTCGTAGGGCACTAGAAAAACCGATCTGCGCATTTAAACTGATTTGTACAAATTAGCACACCTATCAATCTGCTCCATCAGAGGTTAAATTTATTTTTAAAAAATTATAATTCTAACGACCTTGTGTAGCTAACAAGAATAGCAGCTTTATGATTTAAGAAATTTACATCTGACGTAAAGATAAGATGGCTCCAAGAGTGATGGACTTCTAGGGTCTAATCCAACATTTAGGCTTCTGGAATTAAATCCATCATCAGTGAAAACAAAAGTTTTAAACAATAGGGAAAAACTCATTACTGAAAAATTCTGTATCACCCAGATGATGACCTCCTTTGCGGAAGCCGAAATGTTGAATCAAAACTAAGGTCATCGTTCTGTAAGGAAGTGGAAAAATTTAAGTGAAATGGACTTCAGATGAAAGTTGTTTTTCTGGTACAGCAACAAATAACAAAGAACAGTACTTGAAAAATTTAAAAAAAATGTCAGTTTAGAAATCGAGTAACACATGATAATTAAACGTGAGACAATGAATCAAAAGCATAAATATTTTGCACGACGTATATACGAGAGTAACTCCTTGTTCATTGGCCATGGCTGTTCGTTTGAAGGGAATACGTATCGCAAGGTCGAGAGAGAAGATAGTAGAAACATTGGCGTATCGTTTATCAGCTTGTGCAGCATTTCTCGTGAGAAGTAAATAAAAATTTGTAGCTAAGCAATGACACTATTAGAAGACTATCCAAGTAACGTAATAACAACAATCGGCATGTTAGATGTCACCATCGTTTTGCTTGTCTGACGAGGAAATCGTGTAATGCTCGACTGGCAAACTTCGAAGAACTTTGGCTGCGTTTTCGGGCGTTAAGTCTCTTTGGGGCTCACACACCATTTCAAAGCCGGCCATAAACTTTTTTACCGTGGCGGATCGAACCAACGGAGGCAAATAAACTGCGTGCAGGTACCAATGGGCCAAGTCTTCCTTGAGGAAGTCTCCTGCAGGGGCAGAGTACCAAGCCATGCTGTACGGGAACGAGCAGGAAAACAAATTGTCATATTTGATCAAAAGGGTTCTAATGATTTTCGATAAGGCCGTCACTTCTTCCGGTAACAACTCCGAAAGCCTCAACACGTGCCTTTTTGGCAAAAGCATGGTTTCGTACGGCCAAACCGCCCAAAACGGCACCAAGCAAAGCCAGTGACTATTTTCGACAACGATTCTTTCTTTTCGCTGAATTTCCTGAAAAACATAGTCTTCGAGCATCGAGACTCCGCGATCTGACATGTATT